CTGACCCCCCCCCCCCCCCCCCGTGGAGAGTGTCGAATTTTAGCATGAATGCCAGTTCAGAGGATTCCCTTTCAAGTGCAGATCTGAAAGTCTTCTGAAGTAAGATGCATGTGATTAGGTCACTGAGACAGTGTCCTTTCTGGTTGAAATGGCAAGAAACTATTTTTTCTTTGTGATCCTGTCCAATGTCTGTTTTGTGGGCATTGATTTTTTGGCGAAGTGTCTGAGACGTTTGTCCAATGTACATAGCAGACGGACACTTTCGGCACATGATAGCATAGATTATATTTCTGGATGTTCAGGAATATGTGTTCTTGATCTTATAACTCACTTGGCTAGGTCCAATAATGGTATCAGCAGAGTGAATATGTGGACAAAGCTGGCAACGGGGTTTGTTGCAAGGGAAGGTACCAGGAAACAGTTATGCACCCACCATCTAGTTATCCAGACAGTTATGCACCCACCTTATAGTAGCCCCATTTAAACTGTATTTGCCTAGTTTATTGATAAGAAGATCATGTAAAACTGTATCAAATGCCTTACTAAAGTCTAGGTATACTGTGTCTACTGCTTCTCCTTTATCCAAAAAACTTGTTATCCTGTCAAAGAAAGCTATCAGATTGGTTTGACATGATTTGTTCATTACAATCCATGCTGGCTGTTACCTATCACCTCATTATTTTCCAGATGTTTGCACATGGATTCCTTAATTACTTGCTCCATTATTTTCCCTGGCACAGAAGTTAAACTGACTGGTCTGTAGTTTCCTTGGTTGTTCTTATTTCCCTTTTTATAGATGGGCACTAGATTTGCCCTTTTCCACTCTTCTGGAATCTTTCCCAGTTTCTATGACTTTTCAAAGATTATACCAAAAGGCTCAGATACCTCCTCTATCAGCTCCTTCAGTATTCTAGGATGCATTTTATCAGGCCCTGGTGACTTGCAGGCATCTAACTTTTCTAAGTAATTTTTAACTTGTTCTTTTTTTATTTTATCTTCTAAACATACCCCCTTCCCACTAGCATTCACTATGTTAGGTGTCCCATCATCATCAGACTTCTTGGTGAAGACCGAAACAAAGAAGTCATTAAGTACCTCTGCCATTTCCAAGTTTCCTATTATCATTTCTACCTCTTGACTAAGCAATGGGCTTACCCTGTCCTTGGTCTTCCTCTTGCCTCTAATATATTTATAGAATGTCTTCTTGTTTCCCTTTATGTCTCTAACTAAATTGAGCTCGTTTTGTGCCCTGGCCTTTCTAGTCTTGCGCCTGCATACCTGTGTTGTTTGCTTATATTCATCCTTTGTAATTTGACCTATTTCCACCTTTTGATGTGTGTGCATGTATAGTGAATGAACAAGAGCGGAGCATGTGTGTAAGTGTATGCACTGGATGTGTGAGAGCAGTGTGTGTGTGTGTGTGTGCGTGCATATGCACTAACGTGCAAGAGTGGAGCGTGTGTGCACGCGTGTGCGTGCACATTGGTCATGTGATTGATAGCAGAGAGCGTGTGCACTGAATGTGCAAGAGTGGAGTGTGTGTGTATGCCCCTGGCTGTGCACGCATTTGGTCAAGGGGCCATGCTCTGACTTAACCCCCACCTTGTCCCACCCCCCAGAGGCAGCCTCGACACCGCACGACCCCCGCACGAAGCAGGCACCGATGCCAGCCAAAACCCAGTTGCCAGCCATGCATGGCACAGCCCCCGTGATAGGGGGGGTGCTGGCAGGGGCTGTCCTGCTGGCTGTGCTCATTGGGCTGGCTGTGTGCAGAGCCCAGAAGAGAACAGGTACAGGGACACCTGGGAGAGGCCGGGAGGTCACGTGTGGGGGTATGGCCCTGTCTGGGCATCCTGCCCCTCTTCTGCCCGCCCCAAGGGAGCTGTCAGGTATCCATGCAAGGCATTGTGGGAGATTCCCCAGGTGCCACAGGGATAGGAACAGGGAGTGGACCCAAACCCTCTGCCAGGCATGTCCAGCACTTGTGGGGCCCTGCTGGGTGTGTGACATGGGTGGGAAGGTGTGATCCTACCCAAAATGCACTGCTCCTTCTGCAGCATCATGGGATACAGAAAGTGACTGTCCATCGACACTACCCCCATACACCCCATCTACTTCCACCCTCTCTCTCTCCCCATAAACCCATTTATCTGAGCCCCGCATGCTCTGCCCCCCAGCTTTGCCCCCATGGATGAAGGGGGAGAAGGGGTGGTTGGAAGGGACAAAAGAATCAGGGAACGGATGGGAGGGGGAAGGGCAGGAGGCCTGTGGGAGTTGTACCTGGCTGCTAGGGACTCTTCTTTCTTCCCTCAGGCTGCTGGCAGAAGCCCCCCCTGGCTGGGTGAGTCACCTTGTTGTGCTCCCCAAACCCCCAAGCTCCCCACTGCCCCCCAACGCCCAGCACTCTCGTATTCCCCACCCTCGAGGGGCTCCAGTCCCACATCCAAGAAGACTGTGAATGGGCTGGACTTGGAACTGTGGGACCCTAGACTCAGGGGCTTCGGGGTGGCTGGATTCTCCAGCCCCTGGTCAGGGACCCTAGATGAAAAGAGGGGGCACAGAGGAGCTCCTGCAAGGGCCCCATATTCCCTCATGGGGCCGAATTAGTCCCTCTTAGCCCCATGCCCCTGATTTACAACCCACCCTCTAGTGGCAGTGCATGGGGATCGCCCCACCCTAAGCAGCAGTGCCCATCACCTGGAATCAGGGCTGGGGGCCAGGTGCCTCCTCACGGCTCACAGGTCATGCCCCACTCAGCCAGTCTGTCCCCAGGCAGAACCCCGCTCTCCAGTGCTGCCCCCCACCCCTTCTGGGGGAGCCCACTCCAGTGCGGAGACCCTCTCTCACCTGCGGGGTCCACCCCTCTGCCTCCGGGACGGTGCCTCTCAGGGCCCTCAGTGCACCTGCCTCAGCTGTGAGCCCCCTCAGGGGTCCCTTCCCTCTGGACCCCCGGGGCCTCCATTCCCAGAAGCAATAGTGCAGCCCTGTTCTCAGACCAGAGCGACTCTCCGCCAGCCGCACACAGGAGGGTTCATTGAGCACTGAACCCAGCACAGGAACTCTCAGGCCTGTAGGCCTGGCCCCCCTCAGCCCAGCACGTCTGAGTCTCCCCTGCAGCCAGGTGGGCTCTGCCTGCTCTGCTCTCTGTCCAGATCAGAAGCCCCCTCCTCCCAGCAGAGTCTCCAATATCCCCAGCAATAGCCCCTCCCCTGGCCTCTGTCTTCTCTCCAGGTAACAGGGTTGCCTGGGCCCCTTTCTCTCTGCCTCTCCTCTCCTCCATCCAATGTTCTCCCCATGCTGGAACCAGCTGGGCAGGGTCCAGGGTCTCCACTCTGCAGCGTGTTGTCTTTCATCTGACCGGAACTGGCTGTGTCCTCTGAGCGGGGTCTGCTGGGCACCAGGGCACCAGTCGCTGGGGCTCCAGTTCTGGGCCGTTCTCTGCAACAACAAACGCCCTCCCCACTTGTCACATTAAACCAGTAACATCCCGGGGCACTGAGCGCCCCCTCTGCATGCAACCCCCCTCTGAACCCTCCAAACTCCCCACTGCCTCACACTCCCCTTCTCCCGCCAGCTGTTGAGGTATGGGGGCCTGGAGCCCCTGGCCCCGGGGCCCGGTCAGTGACTGTCTTTGGGTCTGTCTTGCACTAGGGAGCAGAGCCAGCTGCAAGCCGAGGGCGAAAGACAGTACATGGAGATCCCGATGGGAGGTGAGAGCACCTCGGGGTACCCCTGAGCAGTGTCCTGCCCTTGCCCTCCTGCCTCTCCCCCTCTATCTGCCCCCTGTATCCCTCCATCCACCCCTCCTTCCTCTTGCCTCTCCCCATCCTCTATCCTTCACCTAGCCCCCCTATCGCCGTCCCTCAGCTCACCCTGTTTCTCATTCCAGGGCCCAGCGTGTCTCCGCCCCAGTGCCCACTGGACCCCCAGGAGCCTGGCCTGCTCTACACTGTCTTGGCCTTCGCTGAACCTGGGAATGCCCCGGGGCAGCCAAAGGCCCATGGCCCCACCACGGGCGAGACCCTCTACTCAGCTGTCCGGGTCTGCTAGAACCAGGGCGGAGGGGGAGCCAGAACCTCAGAGTGGGAGGCTGGAGGGGGCCATGGAGAGCCAGGGTCAGCTGGGGAGCAGAGCTGGATTGAGAGTGAATGGGAAGTGGTCCCCAATTTGGAACTGGGTGGGGGTCACACCCCAGGGCAGCTAGGATGGATGTGGTGGGCTCAGAGGGGATTTGTGATGTCCTGTGTGGAGAGGTTTAGAAGGCCTGGGGATCCTATGTTGGGAGGTTTTGGGGGCAGAGCCAGGGAGAGGTTTGGGGGTAACTCTCTTCAGGACTTTCTCTATGCTCTCCACACTATGTAGGGGGCTGGGCCCAAGGCCTGTGGGGAACAGACCAGGCTGGCAGCTGGGATCCCATCCAGGGGGGATTGTAACCCCTAGGGCCACAGGTGGTGTCCATACGTCTGTGCTGCAGGGGACAGCACCTGTCCTGCTCCTTGCCCCAATAAAGACTGTCTGACCTGTGGATTCCTTGGGTGTGACAGTGTGTGTTACATTCCTTGCATGCTGTCTATATTTCCCCACCCAAAACATCTACATCCACTCGCCCCTCACATACACCCCTGGTATCCCCACTCTGACACACCTACACCCCATCCCAGACATCTGCACCTTAACACGCACCTATAGTTACCTCTGACACCCCGCCCCCTAACACATTGACACCCACTTCCCTGACACCTTACCACACCCACACTCCAGACACCCACACAGTGGGCCTGCTCTGCAGAGACCAGCCCCACTACAGACACACTCACACACACATGCGCACCGGAGGGGTGTGAAAAGTGTCCTCTTGATTGGTGGGGGTGGCCTGGTCGCTCGTCAGGGGTGTGAATTACCCCTGCTCTTACTGTCCCCCTCACCCCACACCTCTATTGTCCCTCCAGCTTCTGTGTCTGGCCCAGGGGCACTCATTCCCCTATTTCCCCCCTAGTGTCCTACAGTGAGTCCCCCTGAGGAGTTTCACCCCTCCCCCAAAAAAGGGTCTTGTGCTGCCAGTGGGTTATTTGCCTTTGGGAATCTGGTGCAGAACAGACACAGGGAGCTGGGACATTCAGCAACATCCATCTGGGGCTCGCTGCACCCTGCACATCCCCCACCAAGAGACACATGGGGAAACTGAGGCACACACATGACATTCAGAGACAGCACTGGGAACGGCTGGGCACAGTAGGGAGGAGGGTTGTTTGGGAATATGGATGTGCCCCAGTGTGCGGCGTTGGTGGGACGGGGTCCTTTGCTTCCCACAAGTCCATCCTAGAGGTGCTGAACGCTCCCTGGCCCAGAGCAGCTTTACTTTGATGACAGTAAGTGCCACTGGGCCCACAGGGCTCTGCACCTGGAGCTGAGCTTCCTGGGCTGCCCCCTGGGCGAGCCCCTTGTTCCCCATGTCACGGCCAGGCCTTGGGTTTTCCTTCCTGGGCTAGCCCTTGGCACTTCTCTGTGGTGGGTTTCCAACCTGGCCTCCTGTCTGTCCAGGCCCTTGGACTGTGTGCATGGGTGGGGGGCTGTTCAACACCTGCTGGGGGGCAGCCAGCTGGGTTATGCAAGGAGGGGGCAGTGCACAGGAGAGGGATAAGTGCAGCCAGGAGAGAGCAGGGGGGTGGCGTGGGGGAAGGGAAGGGAGGTGATGGGTCAGTGCAGAGGGCGGGGCAGAGGCAGGGCAGTTTAGGGGCGTGGCCGTGCAGGGAGGGGAGGGGCAATGCAGGGGCGGGACCATGCATGGAAAGGCGGGGCTAGTGTGCGGTGCAGCAGGGGGTGAAGGGAGAGGGGTCGTAGAGCGCAGGGAGGAGCGGGGCAGTGCAGAAAGGGGGCAGAGTCACTTGAGGGGGCGGGGCCGGCGAAGACAAGGGCGGAGTAACCTGAGCCAGTGAAGCTGGTGCAGGGAGGGGCCGTGCAAAGCACTTTAGGGGGCGGGGTCATTCTAGGGGGAGTGGCCTATGCGTGAGGGGGCGGAGTCACTGAGGGGCGGGGGTGGGCGATGGGATAAATGCCCCCGGCTGCCCCTGTTTGCTCCCCCTGTGTCCCCGGCCCGGCCATGCCGATTCGCTTCGCCCCGCTGCGCATCCCGCTGCGGCGCCGGCTGGCGACCCCCCC